CACCTCCCTCGTCCCCGCCCCGAAGTCGCGGCCTCTTCCGAGTCTCTCAGCCCGCGCACTTTTCCTTAGACCCTCTTCGCTCTTCTCGGCGGCCACACTTCCTCCTCCGAGAAGCGGCGCGGCACGGGTAGAAGGGGCTCTGTTGCGGGGTCGGGAAGAACTGAATAGAAAAGTGTGTGGGAGCAACAGGGGGCCTCTTGCGCCCCACCTCTCCCTCCCCTCCTACCTGGTTCCGTCTGGGGAAGAGAGAAAGAGGTGCTGGTTTGGGATCTTGGCAGGAAAAAGTGTGTGTTTGGATGTGTGTCGGGGTGGTGCGGGAGGGTGACGGTTTCTGGAAAAGGCGTTAAAGTAGGTGAATCCAGGGTTCCCGTAACCAGTCCATCTAGGATCTCACCCCCGCCTCTCCGGTTTCCAGATTGAGCGGATTAGCGGAGAAAAAGGACCAGGTAGAAGGGCGGAGTTAACTCTTTAGTTCCCCAATGGCTGTAGGAACGGGGAGGGAAGAGCTTGCGGGTGGCTGGAGGAGCGAACAGGTGTGATCTCAGGGTCACTGCCGGCGTGTGAGTGTGTGTTTGTCTTGAGGAGGATTATTAAAATGGGATTTGTCGGGGCGGTGGGAGACAGTGTTGGAAATGATAAGCGGAGGGGTAAATTGGGGAGAGTATTTTGGGGCCCTTGACGGCTGGGCTGGGGGCCGAAGAGCTGTGGAATCAGTCTGCCCTCTAATGGCCAGCAGAAGTCGTTGACCGTATTGCGCTGCCAACCTCTGCAAGCCTGTACCAAAGATCAGGAAACTTCTTTCGTACTGCAGATTTCCAGAGGACCTAGTACGTGTTAAGCACCGGCTGAAGGTATAAAGATTAAGACTATATGTGTGTGTGTGTGTGTGTGTGTGTGTGTGTGTGTGTGTGTGTGTGTGTATGTATCTCATATATATCATGTATATATGGTCCATACATTTGAGGAGCTCTATTTGGGACAAATAGCCATAATGTAATATAGTTAAATACTACAACAGAGATAGGTAAATTGCTAAGAGGCCATTTTGCGTGCATTAGGGCCAGGAAAATCTCCAACGAGAAATAATTCAACAAGGGTAGGAGGATGAGAAAGGTATTCTGTGCAGAGACAGCAGAATACTGAAGTCTGTTTCCTACATATTTAGGAGAATTTTGAATATTCTTATGGTCTAGAGCAAACAGTAGCCCATGGACCAACTTCAGACGGCAGGCATGTTTTGTCTGGCATGTATTTTCTCTCTCAAATATATATATGTTATACATTATATATGTATATTATATATATATATAATTTAATTGCCCACATTTTAAAATCAGCAGATGGCACATGAATATTTGGAATTCTGACTTGTCTTGAAATATTGGAGAGCTGGTAATCTAGGTCCTGCATCTCTCCATGAACATAATCTGGAACCAAGTATCCATTACTTCTTTGAGGTGAGTCTAGCTCATCACGGTTCCTATTCACCCTGTTCACTCATTTGTGTTACTGGCTGCATTAGCAGTGCATGTTTTCAACCCTGATCTAGGATGTAAGGTTTATGGGTGTAAGAATGACTGAGGAGGAGAGGCAAGAAAAGGCAGCAGAGAGCAGATCATGCAAGCTTTTGTGGGACAGGCATAATGTCTTTGTTCTATAACGAGGGCTCCAGAGGCTATAGAGGTAGAGAGGAGATTGGAAAAACAATTTTTAAGTTTTATTGAGGTATGATTGATATACCATAAGCTGCACATATTTAATGTATACAATTTGATGAGTTTGGACATATGCATATGCCCATGAAACACATCACCACAACACCAAGGTAATAAACATTTCCATCACCTCCAAACATTTCCTTGTGTCGTTTTGTGTGTGTGTGTGTGCGTGTGCGTGTGTGTGTGTGTATGTGTGTTAAGAACACCTAGCATGAGATCTACCCTCTTAACAAATTTTTAAATGTATAATACGGTCTTGTTCACTATAGGGAGATGCTTTTTAAGTAGAATCAACTGAAATTCAGGAAGAACATACAAATAACTGAAATCTAGGGGACATTGACTCATTAGTTGAGAAGCTAAAAGAAGCTGAAAGGTTTCGGGGGGAAGATAACAATTTTAGTTTATTGCTTTTGAAGTGCCTGTAGATATCCAAGTGGAGGTGTCCAATAGGCCATTGGATTAGTGGAACTGGAGCTCAGGAGAACTAGACTAGAAATCCAACTTAGTAATTGAGCTTCTCTTTCAACAATGGTGGCTTAAATAATTTGTCCAATCCTCAAGCTGAGCTGCAGACAACTAAAAATGTTAGATGAAATGCTTTTTAAAATAAACAAACTAAGAAGACAGTGAGAGCATGAAAGGACAGGAAAGCAGGAGACCAGCAGTAGGAGAGCTTTTACCCTAGAGTCATTTGCTGATCCAAAATTGGTGGCAGAAAATAGGCTGTGTGGGGCAAGTGAGACAAAATTTGGAGTCCAAATGTCCCCAAAGGTAATTACTTAGGTAAACCACCTTCCTATTTAGGGTTAGGATCCTGAAAGGCTGCACTCCTGGGGGAAACCTAGGAGTAGGATAAACCAGAAGTAAACAGAAAATCCAGACCTGAAATAGTTAAAAGCCAAAATTAAGAACCAATTCATGGGTTTAAGAGCAAGTTAGACTCAACTGAGGAGTAAGTAATGAATTGGAAGAAAGGACAGAAGAAACCACTCAGAATGAAGCATGGATACAAAGGAATGAAAAATATAAAAGAGGGGGTTGGAGATATAAAGGATACCATGAGAAAGTCTGACACACCTTTATTTGGAGCCCAGGAAGGGGGGGGGGGGGGAAATAATAGGGTAGAAACAATATTTAAAGAGATAATGGCTGAGAAACTTAAAAAAAATAAATGAAACACATCAAGCCACAGATTCAATAAGTTCAACAAATCTCAAGATTAAAAAAAAAAAAATCCATACCTGGAGCTATCAGAGTGAAGCTGCAGGAAATTAAACCAAATATAAAATCTTAAAAATAGGCAGAAAAAAGAGGATTGGTTACCTTCAGAGGAGCAACCATTTGATTAACAACTTTTTTTCACAGCAAAAATGGAAGCCATAAAATAGTAAAATAATATTGTAAATGTGCTGAAAGAAAATGACTTTCAATTTAGAATTACATATCTAGAGAAAATGTCCTTCAAAAACAAAGGTGAAATAAAGATGTATTCAGAAAAACCAAAACCAAGAAAGTTAGCCACCAGCAGAAGGGCACTAATTCTCAAGCGGAAGGAATATTATTCCAGATGAGTGTTGGGGATACAGGAAGGAATTAAAAATGGCAAATCTCAATGACCACTGCTTTAATTAATAAGCATTAATGTCTTGTGGGATTGAACATATATACGGAATTTAAATTCTGTAAACGTATACACCTACACTTACCCAAGAGGAACAATTGCATCTCACCGCAAGAACCTTGTACGAAAATGGTCATAGCTGCTTTACACATAATGGCTTCAAACTGGAAACAGCCCAGATGTGCTCGCCTGTGTCTCAGCCAGTTGGAGGTCCTGAATTCATCAACAGGAGAGTGGGTAAACAAACGGTGGAATATTTATGCAATGGCATGCTACTCATAAATAAAAAGGAATAAATTGCTGATAAATGCAAAAATATGGAAGAATCTTGAAATGTGTCAAGCAAAAGAAGCTAGACGAAAAAGAGTACATAGGATGTGAGTCCATTTATGGGAAGAACAGACGAAACTAATCTATGATAATAGAAATTGGAATAGTGATTGTCTCTAAGGGAAGGGCAAAGGGGTATGAGTGAGTTTTTTGAGGTGATAAAAATGTTCTTTATGTTAATCTGTGTGATGGGCAGAATACATTACTCAAAATTAATCGATCTGTGGACTTAAGATCTGTGCATTTTGCTGTAGTAAATAATACTACAATTAGTATATCAGTATCAATATAGTACTTAAAAAAGTTACACAACAATGTATATAGTTCTGGAGGGAGTGACGGTGGTAAATGGAATTAAATTATTCCTTCATTTTTCACGAGGAGGGTAAAAGTATTACACAAGATTAGACCTTGCCAGTTCAAGGAGGCACGTTGTAATTTTTAGGGTAACCACTAAAAGAGTAGAAAAAAAGTGTGTAACTTCCAATTGACAGAGGCAGGGAAGGAATAATAAATAGTAATCAATGCAAAACAAGGCAAGAAGGGGGAGAAACAGGATTATAGAAGGAGGAAAAGCACATAGTAATATGCTTGATGTAAATGCAACCATAGTATATCCGTATCTGTGGCTGTGAAACTTCGTATAAGGGTGAAATCCGCCAGAGAGGTTGTAGAGTGAGGAAAAGAGAAATGAGGGGAAACTAGGCAAATGGCAGGCGGTCTGGTCCTTCTCTCCTGTCACTTCCCTTGCGCTCTTTTTCTGAGCTCTCTTTGCAAAGGCTGTCTCAGTTTCCCTGCTAGTCCCTCACCATCAGTATTTTCCCCCTCCGATTCAATCAATATACATACTCAAATCCGCTTCTCCTGCCTGAAGTTTCTAGCCTCTGAACCACATCCAGACGTGTAGTGTTCACAGTCACCTAAAGTCCCTTCCTGTTCCATTTCACTCGCTGATGGCAAAAACAGCTTCTAAAGCCTGCATTTTTGAGAGAGGAAAAAGTAGGAGTATGGCGGTTACATTTATTGAAGAAATTTAAAATTAAAACCAGGGAGGAAAAAAGGAAACACCGATAGCAGAGGATGGTTTCGATCCATCGACCTCTGGGTTATGGGCCCAGCACGCTTCCGCTGCGCCACTCTGCTGTCTTGAAGACCGGTTTTTTATAAACTGTACAGAAAGTTCTCTGAATGCTACCCATCCTCATTTATTTACACAGCACCCCCTAGTGTCTGCGAAAGTCGTTACTGTCAAGTCCGTTCTTATTGGCTAGTTCCTGACACAGTAGGCGCTTTTCATTGGTTCATAAACCGGTTTACCAAAGTAAACCAGTAGGCACAAGCGGCGGAGTACGGCGGGAGCCAATCGCGCCGGAGTTTGTTGGGACACGCCGGCAGGCCGCCTCTCCAGTTGTCTTCTCCTCGGAGGAAAGGGGCGGTTGGTGTGGCCTCCATTGTTCGGGCTCTAGGACGCCATGAGGTAAGGGCTGTGGGGTGCTCTGGAGAGGTTTCGGGTATTCGACCGAAAACTATGGGAAGTTGGGCTGAAAGGAGTCGGAGGACTTGAAAGGGCCGTGTATCTAGGGGCTGCACGGAAACCTGAGAGCTCCTGGGCTGGGAGAGTGGGGGAGGTCGGGGGCCGAGGAGGCGGGGAATCTCGGGCCGGGGATGGGGGTGGGGACCGGGAGTGGGTAGGCAGGTTCGACACTTCGGTCTCTGGGGTGTTCAGATGAGGGGGTGTCCTCAGGTCCCAGGAGGAGCACTCACCCCGCCCCCATCTAGACTGAGAAGGCCAGAACGTGCCTCATGCATCCTCAGTGCCAAGTGCTTGACATATAGGATATGCCTGATGCTTTTACCACGTGAACGAATAAATGAGCAGTCACGTTAGTCTCTGAAGTCTTAGGGTTGGAGTGTCCCAGAAATTATGGGGCATTTCTTGTAGGGCTCACTGAGCCCCGTCAGTATTCAATGTGAGGTTTGATGTGATTAATTTATCCAGAAGGCGGAGGTCATGGGGGATGAGGCTGGGCACTTGGAATTGTGGGGGAGAAGTGTAAGTGGGAATGGGATCTCTTGGCTTCCAAAGGGAAGTGCAGAGCGATGGAGGTAGGCTAACTTGAAATCATGTGGCCGGTATGGTGGAGATTGCTTCAACGAGGTCAAAACAAAGTTAAAATCTATTCATGCATTTCTAGGGGTGACAGAGGCCGCGGTCGCGGCGGGCGCTTTGGTTCCAGAGGAGGCCCCGGAGGAGGGTGAGTGCCAGTTTTTAGCATCTCTGCAGCCGTTAGTTTCCATTTCAGTCATCTAAATAAGAGTTTGGAGTGGACTAATCTTACCTGCCTTTGTGAGATCCAGCTGTGGGTTAGAAGCATTCTTTGCATGCTCTCCTGGTAAATGAGTTTGGCCCCATTATGCGAGATCAGTTTGATTTCTGTGGTGAGTAATTTGGACTGTTTTTCGTATTTTAGGTTCAGGCCCTTTGTGCCACATATCCCATTTGATTTCTATTTGGTGAGTACCTTGGCCACTGTTCAATTGTGGTTGAGCCCAGCGTCTCCCTATTAATGAAGTCAGGTGGTAGTTGGAGCAGAGAAAGGGATTAGTGAGTGGAATTGGGGGTGGGTTTGAGTCAGCCGTGTGTCGCTTTACATACATAAACAGTATAAGCTGGAAGGGGAAGACAGTTCCTCGGCCACAGTGGGCAGTAACATGGTTATAATCTTTGTTCTGAACAGTTAATGGTATCTCTGGCTTATCTGTTAGTGTAACAGTAGTAGGAGCTTAAATTATGGATATTCCCTCCAGCTTCTGTCCTTGTTTGAACATCTTAAGGAGTAAAAATAAGTGTTGTAGAATTTTCTGTTTTCAATTTGTTTGTGTTGTGGCAACAGAAAGAAAATCTCTATTGTATATTATTTTTGGTAAGTAGTATGTAGTTGTTTATTTCTGATTTAGTGTGAAATGGCCTTTCCCCGGGTCAAGCCAGCGCCTGATGAAACTTCCTTCAGTGAGGCCTTGCTGAAGAGGAATCAGGACCTTGCTCCTAACTCTGCTGAACAGGTATATTTTGGCTTCCTTCCTGAGATTCCTTAAAGAAAGCTAAAGAAGTAAATAACTACTGGTGAGGTTACTGTTATCAGAGCCTAAACTCCACAGAAAGTTTAATCGTTCTCCTTATTTCTCTTTGTGGGTAGAGGGAGAGCACCAGGTGAATATATAAACAAATTACATGTGCATTCATATTTTTACTGGGGAATCTATCTTTGGGATCAAAAAGTATTCAAGGCTGGAAGGGTCAGGATGTTCTCAGAGCCCGTGCAGGTATTGCTTCATCTCCTGTTGAAGGGATTAGGGGAAGGTATTCAAGCTTGGTGAGAAGTTGCTTACAGTGTTTCACCTGAGGGTATTTTTGTTTCCTGCTGTCTTTCAGGCCTCTATCCTTTCTCTGGTGACAAAAATTAACAATGTGATTGACAATTTGATTGTGGCTCCAGGGACATTTGAAGTGGTGAGTTTTTGATGATTTAGTCCTAGGAAAGGGGAGCCTTGTGGAAGTTTCCTTGGCTCCTGTTTCTTAATTCTGCAGATGCCTATTCAAAGCCACTCTTAAAATAGGAAAGTACAGTGGAATTCCTTTGTAGTGCTGATCTTGGGGACCAGACTTATATCGTTACTGTCAGCTAACCATGATGAACCAGGCTTTTCATGTGCTCATTTTGATATGATTTGAACTCTACCACTTCCAAATCCGGGTAATAAGCTGTGTTGTAACTGAGTTCTGAGGGGAACTAGGCAGTCTTCTCACTTCTGAGTTTTCTTCTTGAAATCCCTTCTCCAACAGCAAATTGAAGAAGTCCGACAAGTCGGATCGTATAAAAAGGGAACGATGACTACAGGACACAATGTGGCTGACCTGGTGGTGATCCTAAAGATTTTGCCAACGTGTGAGTGTACCTCTCTCTGGCCTTAGGAGCAGAACATAGCAATTGGATTTGAGGCATAGGGATCTTTAAAGCCCAATTTTCTTATGAGAAAGGCTGTTTGGAAGACAAATGGGAAATTGAGTTTTTTAATGTGTGTTGTATCTGAAAGAATATGGCCAGTTACTATAAGGCAGTGTTTCTCAACTGGGGGTGATTTTGCTCCCCAGGGGATATTTGGCATTGTCTGGAGATGTTTTGGGGCTGTTTTTTGGGTAGAGGCCAGGGTTGCTGCTAAGCATTCTACAGTACACAAGACAGACCCTACCTCCCAACCCCAAACAAAGAATTATCCAGGCCAATATGGCATTAGTCCCACTGACAAGAAACCCTGCTGTGGAAAAAGGTGTGTGTATATAGGAGGAGGTGTCCTGTTCCCTGAGCCTTCCAATTTCTCTCTCCAGGTGTTAGCTTCCCCTTGTAAAAGTGTTCATTCAGCTGCTTGTCCTTGCTCCAACAGAAATCAGAGTGCAGAGATGTATAGAAAAATCTACATAAATAATTGTAATCTTCATTATCTCCTGTTGTTTCAATCTAGTGGAAGCCGTTGCTGCACTAGGGAACAAGGTCGTGGAGAGCCTAAGGGCACAGGATCCTTCTGAAGGTTTGAGTTTGTTGCTGAACATGTAATTTAGTGGTCACAAGAGCCAGTTCTATGATTATAATTTCATTTTAACAAAGTCAGGTCAGGCTAGAAGGAAGAGCGAATGCAGAGTTTTAGGTTGGGGAAGTTTTGGGCAGAGTTCGCCAGCGTTCAAAATCCAGTTGATGTCCGTTACTTTTAAACTCTGTATTCTCAGTTCTGATTCTGGACTGTTGGTGTTTTTAAAAATCGATCTAGGGGGCTTCCCTGGTGGTCTAGTGGTTAAGACACCCAGCTCCCAATGCACGGGGCATGGGTTCCATCCTTGGTCGGGGAATTAAGATCCCACATGCCACACAGTGCGGCCAAAAAGATAAATAAGTAAATAAATTTAAAAATCCCTATCTGTTCCCCCAGCCTTATCCTGGATTTACCTTTGGTCATCTAATGGAAATATGAGTTTCAGCTTTTGATTTTTCTTTTTGCAGTTTTGACCATGCTGACCAATGAAACTGGCTTTGAAATCAGTTCTTCTGATGCTACAGTGAAGATTCTCATTACAACAGTGCCACCCAATCTCCGAAAACTGGACCCAGAACTCCACTGTTAGTCCTTTTATTCTGTTGCTGTTAAATTTGGGGAAATTAAAAACATGGTATAAAGTGCTGTTGAGTTTACTTAGGTCCCGAAAGGTCACATGTGGAATAGCAACAAACTAAGTTTACCCCCAAACTTTGCTGTCTTCCTCTGTAATTTGGAAACAGTTTTACCAGCTTGCTAGTGAAATTGTCAAAGCCAGCATGGCCAAGAAAGCAGTTTGAGGATTTAAGAAAAAGGACTGAGGAAATATTTATGGAGGGGGGGGGGTAGGCTTTCAGAGAAAATTGGGGCTCTTTCATGCTTCCAGATTTGGTTTGAGGGAGGAATAGTGATTTTTGGACAGGTGACTTGCTGATCTGGGGAACACGGGGTGGTTGAAGGAATTACTATGTTATCCTGTCCTCCTTCCACATTCTTGGACAATGGCAGTGGGATTGAATTGCTTGCTCAATAATGGGAATGTTTCATCTTGGTGGATGTCATGCTTGTCTTCTAGTGGATATCAAGGTGTTGCAGAGTGCCTTAGCAGCCATCCGACATGCCCGCTGGTTTGAGGAAAATGCTTCTCAGTCCACGTGAGTCCCTCCCTGTTTGAGTGAAGATATATCCTAATCCTTCTAACTACATTGAACAGCAGGATACCCCACCCCCACCCCAGTACTTCCTCTCACAGAACATTTTTGGCTGTGATCTTCTGTCTGGATTTTGATTTTTACCTTAAGTAAGCAAACTTAGGTTGAGGGAAAGAAAGGAATGTATAGTTCTGGAAATAGCTTCATCTCTGTACCTTAGGTGTGGAAGTAAATAATCTTATTACTTTTTTTTTTAGCTATAGTTGATGTACAGTATTATGTTACAGGTATACGACATAGTAATTCACAATTTTTAAAGGCTATACTCCATCTATAGTTATTATAAAATATTGGCTGTATCCCCCATGTTGTACAGTATATCCTTGTAGCTTATTTTATACATAATAGTTTGTACCTCTTAATCCCCTATTCCTATTTTGCCCCTCCCTCTTCCCTCTCCCCACTGGTAACCACTAGTTTGTTCTCTATATCTGTGTGTGTGTTTCCTTTTTGTTACATTCACTAGTTTGTTTCATGATCCGTTATTACTTTTAATCCTGGTCCCTCTTACCTTCAGAGTTAAAGTTCTCATCAGGCTGCTGAAGGACCTGAGGATTCGTTTTCCTGGCTTTGAGCCCCTCACTCCCTGGATACTTGACCTACTTGTAAGTAATGAAGGGCAATTGGAATTCCTGATCCTCCCTATGTTACAGTAGTTCCTCTGAAACCTACCAGAATATGAAATTCGGTACAGATTAAAAAGAAATGGGGGGGAGGGGTGGAAAAGGGAAAGAAAAACAAAGAAATCTCATTAGTGGACAAGTAATTCAATAAAGATTTAATGTTTATTATTTCTTTGGGCTTTTGGAGTATTCAGTTAAATGAGTAGTTATTACTGTACCTTTGTATTTCTCATTACTGCTGTCATTTCATTAATGTGGTAATGGAGAGAAATTACTGAATGAGCAGTCATTTCAGAACTGCTTCTCAATGTTAAAATTTTAGCTAGACATTAACCAGTTTTCTTCTTTATGGTTTAAAGTTTTGTTTGAAGATAGAATTGCCACTTTATGGCACACCTACCAGATCCGCTTTCTTCTAGGGGCACTATGCTGTGATGAACAACCCCACCAGACAGCCTTTGGCCCTAAATGTGGCATACAGGTATAGCATGCTGTTTTGGGTTTGGGGCTGGATGTAAGCTGTCTTGCGTGTTCTTCTAATACCTCTCCATGTTTCAGACGATGCTTGCAGATTCTGGCTGCAGGACTCTTCCTGCCAGGGTCGGTGGGTATCACTGACCCCTGTGAGAGTGGCAACTTCAGAGTACACACAGTCATGACTCTGGAACAGCAGGTATTGGGACAGCCCTGAAATGGTCTGTTGTGCCCCACTCTTGAATATCTGGTCAGAAGGCAAAGGGAATGTGGTTTTTAGTGGTCAGGGATTTGGGGGTTCTCACAGACTTTGGTCTTGAAATTAGAAGTTGTTTTTTTCTCACGTTTCATGAGAATGTTAGTCAAATAAGGTATTTTGATTTTCATTGCTAATTTACCCTTACTTTGCTCTCCCTCAGGATATGGTCTGCTACACAGCTCAGACTCTGGTCCGAATCCTCTCACATGGTGGCTTTAGGAAGATCCTTGGCCAGGAGGGTGATGCCAGCTGTGAGTGACCACTGTGGGACAGGGGTTCTTTACGGTACTCCGTGATCTACAAAGAAACTCTACACTACTCATGTCTTACTGTTTCCACTGTGTGTGTGTCATGCCTTGTATGTTGGGCTACTTGTCTGAAGTCACCTTTTTTCTTTTCTAGATCTTGCTTCTGAGATATCTACCTGGGATGGAGTAATAGTGACACCTTCAGAAAAGGCTTATGAGAAGCCACCAGAGAAGAAGGAAGGAGAGGAAGAGGAGGAGAATACAGAAGAGCCACCTCAGGGAGAGGAAGAGGAAAGCATGGAGACTCAGGAATGACCTCCCTGTCTCTTCACCCCCTTTCTTACCCAAGGAGAAGACTGGAGCCTATGCTAACTGCTGCTGGGCTTTATGTGGTGGCATTTCTGAGGGATAGGGGAGACAGGAAGGAAGATTAAGAGGACACTATAGAAGGAATTGTCATTCCACTGCATTCTGAAACTGGCTTAGCCAGAAGTCTCCCATTTATGACCTACGCCATCCATCTATAGTGAAGCAGGATACCAACTTTTATTCCTAATACTCTAGAATCCCGAGCTTCTGGAAACCTCTCTCAACCAGTACTTTGTTGTTGAAATGTTGTGAACTGTTACTGTTTGCAATTTTTTTTTTACTAAGAAAAAAGATTAAAGTACTTCCTACTAGGGCTCCTGGTCTTGTTTTTCCTTGGTATCTGGCAAGCTGTTTTGCTTCCTTTTGCTTTATGTACTCTTCATTGAAAATGATACTTGAGTCTTTTCATTGTGAACACTAGATCTCAGTTTGAATCTATATTTGAATTAATGCAGAAGACTCTTGGCACCTTTCCATATACCAGAGTAAACTGGAATACCATTTAAGCATTTATTGAATTAAATGGTTTTAGTAACACTACTACAGTAGTCAAGCCAGTGCAGTCAACAAAAGAGGGTAGGTGGTCATTCACCTTGACTTTGCCTGCCCTTTCTAGTGCAAACAAAGGAATATTGGAAGTCACAGGTAGAGGACATTCTGCCCAGGTCCAACAACCTCGCACGTAACAGAGGAAGCCCCTCCCTTGTTAATGAGGCTCGGAGATGGTAGAGCAGGTGGGCCTTGAGTATGGAGCTTTAAAAAAAAAAAAAAATGTAGAGGCCTCAGCTCATTCTTGGAAGCAAGAGCCATAATAAATCCTTTGGGATCCTGAGTCCTGCTCTACACAGGTTTCTTTGGGCCCCACATAAATGGGTAAGACTGAAGTGCTTCAAACAAACCACAGGGCTGCCCTTTTGATGTCCCAACACCTACTGGGAGTCCTGGAGGAAACAGGCAGCTGGGGAATGGTATTTGTGCTATTCTGTGGCCATGGGCCCATCTTCTGGCCTGTTACTTGCTTGGGGAACCAGGCAGGTAAACTCCTGAATCCAGCATTGCCCTCCTTCGGGCTGTTTCCTTGGCAACACTGTGGTTTAGCCGCCTCAGCCTTTCCTACAAAACAAGATTTGGAATCAAATTAACTGCTCTGTGAAAGGATTTAGAGCTTGCTGTCAACTAGGCTGGAAAATATCTTAGGCTTGCTTCATCTCAACGTTAAGTCTTCTAAGGTATGTAAGAACATAAAAGAGCAACTGGGGGTTAAGAATAAGAACAGTAAGTTCTATTTTGGCTGGCATTAGTTGACAACTCCCTTTCCCCAAAAAGACAAAATTACAGTGACTTTCGCTGTGTTGGGGACTTCATGACACCCCTTGAAAATCGGAGAATACCTTAAGGACTTAGAAGAACAAAGAATTACTGTTGGTAGGAAATTCCTTTACCTGGGCATTCTGTAGGATGTTATTAACCAAGACGACTCGTCGCCGGGCATTAAGGAGCTTCTTCACATAGGGGTCGAGATCCAGGGCCACTTTCTGATCCTCATTGATACGGCACAGTTCTGGGAAATGGAAGGAAGATGCATCTAAACACCTAATGGCCTTCTCGTTCTTGGAACAAGTAAGCTAGTAAATGCTATGGAAAGCACTCTTGTGCCACATGGGCACAGTCACTAGAAACTTAAGAGGAGTCCATCGGCAGCCCTGGAAGCAAGTGACAAACCCAGCCCCAGAGGTTGGCAAAACATAAGGTCCTGTAGTGAGTTGTAGGATCCCGGGTATACAGGGATGCTTACTCACCGGTAGCTAGGTTGTCAATTTGTTCCCGGAGCTCTACTTGGCTCTCTCTGCAAAGAGGTACAAGGCCTACACGGTCAGACAGTTAATGAAAATCAAAAACCTACTCCCCTATGCGTTTCCTAAGTGCTCAGAAAAGCCAGCCTCTGCCCCCACCGGCAGGCCCTCCGCCGGTCTGCCCCGCCTCCAATCAGTTTCCCCAAATTCTTAGTCCCATCTGAACGCCGAACTCGTCTTATCTCCGCCCTTTCTTGGCCCCGCCCCTACAAAACCAAATCGAGGAGAGGCCCCGCCCCAGCCTTCCCTCTAGGGCACCTGACGGCGTGGACGTGAGAGTCAAGCTGCTGCACAGCCGGTCGCAGGAACTCGAGGAGCCCCTCGGCGAAGAGGTCACGGCCTGCGGGCCCCGCCACGGGGGTTCCTGCCCCGGACACAGCGGCGGAACCAGCTCCCGACATCACGAACTGCCCTTACGGCCGGAACCTGCCGCGAGGGCCGCCGGGAACTGAAGCCCCGCCGAGGTGCGCCGCTAGGGGGCGCCCGGGGAGTGCCAGCGCCAACCCCGGCCTGGGATTTCTGGGAAACGCAGTCTCTGGAGCCAGCAGGGCGGGGCGAAGGGCCGGGCCCTAGAGCTACCGGGAGTTGTAGTTCTTTGTAGGCCATGAAGTGGCGGGGGTTGAAAGTCTTGAAAGTCTCCAGACTTCAAGAGCTAGAAGGAACCATTTTGGGGATGCGAACGTTTTGTTTTCTCCAAAGGTGAAAAATAAATGCTTATGTCCCCAGTTGTCCATAGCTTTCCCATGTTAATTTTGTGGGAAAGCCAGATGATAGTCATAGTATAGTATATTTCTAAATTTAAGTGTATTTTTTAATGGCACTAAAGTGTGCAAAACTGCATCTGAATACTATTCAGCCTTAAGAAGGAATGAAATTCTGGTACATGCTATGCGTTAAACGTGACGACATTATGCTAAGTGAAAATAAGCCAGACACAGAAGGACAAATATTTAATGATTCTGCTTGTATGAGGTTTGTAGAACAGTCAAATTCATGGAGATAAAATGTAGTTCTATCGCCTGATCAGAACAGTGTTGCCCCTTCCGCCGCGGCAGCCATTGAGGAGCGGCAGCCATGGCTCTGCGCTACCCCATGGCCGTGGGCCTCAGCAAGGGCCACAAGGTGACCAAGAACGTGAGCAAGCCGAGGCACAGCCGCCACCGCCGCGGGCGCGTCACCAAGCGCACCAAGTTCGTGCGGGACATGATCCGGGAAGTGTGCGGCTTTGCCCCTTAGGAGCGGCGGGCCATGGAGCTGCTCAAGGTCTCCAAGGACAAGCGGGCCCTCAACTTCATCAAGAAAAGGGTGGGGGGGCTTCCCTGGTGGCACAGTGGTTCAGAGTCCGCCTGCCGATTCAGAAGACACGGGCTCGTGCCCCGGTCCGGGAAGATCCCACATGCCGCGGAGCGGCTGGGTCCGTGAGCCATGGCCACTGAGCCTGCGCGTCCGGAACCTGTGCTCTGCCACGGGAGAGGCCACAGTAGTGAGAGGCCCGCGTACCGCAAAAAAAAAAAAAAAAAAATGTTGGGAACACACACCCGTGCCAAGAGGAAGAGAGAGGAGCTGAGCAACGTTCTGGCCGCCATGAGGAAGACGGCAGCCAAGAAGGACTGAGCCCTTACCCTCTGTGCACAATAAAACTTTTCCAGAAAAGAAAAAAGAACAGTATTGCCAGCGGCTGGGGGGATGGGGGAATGGGGACTTGTTGCTTAATGGATACTGAGTTTCAGTATGGGATGATTTTAAAGTTCTAGAGACTAGTAGTGGTGATAGTTACATAATGTGAGTTTACTTAATTCCACTGAACTGTACACTTAAAAATGGTTAAAGCTGGGGCTTCCCTGGTGGCGCAGTGGTTGAGAGTTCGCTTGGCGATGCAAAGCACACGGGTGCGTGCTCCGCACCGGGAAGACCCCATATGCCGCGGAGCGGCTGGATCCGTGAGCTCATGGCTACTGAGTCTGCGCGTCCTAGAGCCTGTGCTCCGCAACGACAGAGACCACAACAGTGTGAGGACCGCGTATCGCAAAAAAAAAAAAAAAAGTTTCCATACTTTTCTTTTGTTTTTCATGGCTTTCCAGAGAGTTTACATCTCTTGTTGAATTCTCAACAAGAGGCACAGCCCTCTGTCCTTTAAGCCCTAATGTGTTCCAGTGATTCACAATAAATGGGCACCAGAATGTTCAGCCTTGAGCTTTGATGAAATAAAGCTCCTATTTTAAGGCAAACAAGAGAATTTAAACATGAAAATGTTCTCTGCTTGGGAATTCCCTGCTGGTCTAGTAAAGAAAAAAAAAGTTCTCCCTGTTTGGGCCTCTTTTCTTCCCTCTCGTGTGCAGTGTGCATCTGCATTATGCGTTAACCAGATCTCTCCAATGTCAGAAATACCAGCTCAACCATAAAGGTAAATTTTTCTTCTTCTGATGCCAACCATGTAACTCCTTAGAAGATAACATTCCTTTCTCAATCCTGTAAGGCATCAGGATGACCCACCACTCACCTTGTAGGTGCAGATATCTTTGGTAAACTTTATGTACAATACCAATATATCATTTCCCTTAATGACAGAGATTGCTTGCAGAACAGACTAGGTAAGATGACCTGGGAAGATACCTAATGGAATTTCTTAGCCTAAATGTTTACTTATTACCTCATTAATGTTACTAACTATGTTACTTATATTCTATTTTACAAGATTATTGTTTCTTGCATTACCAAATGTGTGACTGAGCCTCCAATAAAAATAATGATGACTAGGCAACTTGAAACAACTGACCAAATATATAGTTCTATAAGATCAATGATTGTAATAGCGTAACTCTAGATATAGGAAGAAACAACAAGAGCGAATCATTATCCAGACCGTAACAGACAAGTAAGACAGACAGTCCAGAGGCTTTTGGTTATTGTTTACAGGGCCTAGTCCAGTAATAGCACATTGGCCTATCAATGAAATCCTTGCCTGACGTGGGAGTGAGCATTCCTAGCACCATGAAACAAGCTGGCCATGAAATGCCTCCCAAACCTTGGTTGAAATAAAGACTGAAAGGTAGAGGATTGTAAAATAAAGAATGCTGCCCACTAGCCAGTTCTGTAAGAATCAAGTCATTAGCCACTGTGGTCAATGACCTGCAGTACACCCTGAAAGGAATTTAGAATCAGGATGAGGCACTTCATGCTCTGGGAAAACTGGCAGAACTGGCCCTCAGTTATGTGTTTTCAGGAGAAAATGTTATGATCTCAGTTTCTTGCATCTTCCCATTCTTAGAAAAGCACTAAACCATTAACTAAGATCTCTATTTCTGGAGAATAGCAGTCACCGTCTACCAAGATGTGAGCTTGATTGCACATACCCCTTCATCAAACTCATGTTAAGTCCTAGCCTCCCACCTTAGCTCTTTGGAACAGTCCTCAGAGTTTCTGAAAGACTGTCTCCAGCTTATAATGCTCAGGTTGGAGACTTCCCTGGTGGTCCAGTGGTTAAGACTCCACGGTCCCAATGCAGGGGACCTGGGTTCAATCCCTGGTCACCACATACCGCAACTAAGAGCCTGTGTGCTGCAGCGAAGACCTGGTGCAGCCAAATAAATAAATGTTAAAAAAAAATAAATCTATATATCTCTATCTATCTATCTATATATATATATATATATCTCCTCAGGTTGGTTTGAATAAAATTTTCCATT